AGTTACCAATAGTTACCAATAGTTACCAATAGGTGCCAATAGTAACCAATAGTTACCAATAGCTACCAATAGTTGCCAATAGTTGCCAATAGTTGCCAATAGTTACCAATAGTTGCCAATAGTTTCCAATAGTTACCAATAGTTACCAATAGTTACCAATAGTTACCATTAGTTACCAATAGTTACCAATAGTTACCAATAGGTGCCAATAGTAACCAATAGTTACCAATAGCTACCAATAGTTGCCAATAGTTGCCAATAGTTACCAATAGTTGCCAATAGTTTCCAATAGTTACCAATAGTTACCAATAGTTACCAATAGTTACCATTAGTTACCAATAGTTACCAATAGTTACCAATAGTTACCAATAGTTGCCAATAGTTGCCAATAGTTACCAATAGTTACCAATAGTTACCAATAGTTACCAATAGTTACCAATAGTTACCAATAGTTACCAATAGTTACCAATAGTTACCAATAGTTACCAATAGTTGCCAATAGTTACCAATAGTTACCAATAGTTACCAATAGTTACCAATAGTTACCAATAGTTACCAATAGTTACCAATAGTTACCAATAGTTACCAATATTTACCAATAGTTGCCAATAGTTACCAATAGTTACCAATAGTTGCCAATAGTTACCAATAGTTACCAATGTTCCATTATATTTTTAAGACCATTAAAAAAAACATCTTTCAATTCACATTTTCCATGACCAGCTCGCAGATGGATCGGCAACAGTGCCTCTGGTGGCTTCTCGGGCTTCCACTTCCCCACCGTGCCACAGGTCTTGGGCGATAGCGCGGCGGCCTATCCTGTCACCGGGCGATCCAAAATCAGAAAACCATGGGGAAAAGCATGGCTTTGGGATATGTAAAGTGTTACCATCTGGTAAACATACAAAAAACTATGGAAAATCACCATTTATAGTGGATTTACCCTCTGGTAAACATACAAAAAGCTATTAAAAATGGTGATTTATAGTGGATTTACCCATTAAACACGGTGTTTTTCCACAGTTATGTTAGTTTACCAGAGGGTAGATGGAGTATGGTAGGGTTTATCATGGTATATTGCAATAGGTGTATAATGGTTGATCATTGGTTTTGTTCTGTTTATGATGCTAGAACCCATGATGATCCCTCACTATATGGAAAACCATTGGTGTTTTTTCAATGGGAGTTTGCCCTCTGGTAATAGGTTGATATAACTGAGAGCATCATGGGTACAATAAATAGATGTATAATAGGATATTCATGGAAAATATATAACCAGCAATTAATTGGATGGGATACCCTCTGGTAATCAACGTGGCTGGAAATCCCCGATCAAAGCAGAGGTTTTCATGGGAAAAACATGTCCATGGCCAGGTTTGATTACCAGATGGTATAACCCGTAAAAAAGGATGTTTCACGTGGTTGCTCTAACCGCTATACGTAATGGTAGCCGCTTTTGGGATAAAGTTGGTCATTTTACCTCTCTATGGATGCGGTTGACCAGCTTACCACCCCAGGGTATCTGGGGTGGTGCAACCCCGTGGTTAATGGGGTACACATGTTTCTTGGGACATGATTCATGATGGTTACTCACAATATATTGGTAAGGGACATCATTACTTTTGAAGCGTGACAATTGGGATGATGATTGGGATAAGAAGTAGGATCATAATTGCCTAAGTGGTTGGTACTGGAACTTGGGAATTATGCCAGGGAAATAGGCAAAAACGACCTGCCCAACATCTTTCAGGATGCTACGAGCCATTCTTGCAAACTCACCAAGTACACCTCACCATTATCACTGTTGGCAGCATTTGCCACTATTTAGCCACCATTTGAGGTGATGTTTACCCTCCTTATGGGGAAGTATCCAGTACCCCCCTCTGCGAAACTATCCAGATTTAAGCAGAACGAGGATCTCCAATTTGTCCCAGTTTAAAGGTTACACCAACTAAATCTAACCTGGAACCACCGATTCCATGGGGTTTGCTATTTTGCGGTTCCATGTTGAATTTAGGGGACTTAAGATCACCTGAAATAGTGCTACGTTTATTCCATGAATAGAAAAGCGTAGAAGAATGCTGTTGAAATCCTTAGTTCGTTCTGTTGACCTACCTTTCCGAATGGCCCGCTGTGGATTCCTTTGTTCTTGTTGGACCTGCCGGTGCTTGTGCCAAGAATTACAAGCCGGATGAAATGGAACTGTTGGAGTTTGATTCCAACACTGCACACTCATCAGGAGCCCTGCATGGGATGGTATAAAATGACTGGGATGGATTTGGGTTGGATAAAAACCCCATGAACATGGCTAAAAACCACATAAAATGCTTTGCGAAGTTCCGCCAATCGTTTAGGTATGTTTAGGTCTTGCTATTTATATAGAAGCATGCAGCATATCCCAATGTATACAGACTCACATCATCCTTGATGGTTTGTTCTTGGGTCTACGAGGTCCTCGCAATAATTTGTCATTGTTCTTCCGATTATCCCAATTATCCCAATTTAAAGATGCTTAAATTGCCCCCGATTATTCATATGCCCTCTGGACATTTATCATGACCGTGGACAATGGGCCATTGATTGATGATTTACCTCTTAAATGAAGATGAATGTTCCACATTTATGTAACAAATCACTTGAGGGTATCAGGATTTAACACAGAATTATCTTCATATATTGAATTCCTCCATAATGTGATACCATGGCTGTATATGGTCATATATTACAATATAGTATATCCGTATATGATAGTATATAGTGGATCACCAAGTAAGTGGTATATTATATGTATGAAAATGGTACTGGAATATTACATTATATACATTACAACTATCTATTATAGCTTTTTAAAATATCACCATCTCTGCCAAATTCACATGTTCAAAAGGTGTGCTTTGCAGGACGCCTTTGGAGCCGCGGCTCCTGCATGTATGTGGGTGGCCGTCTTTGGGTGCCTTGCTGGATGGGCAATTTTCCATAGCAAACTGTTAAGTTACCAGAGGGTATACCAACTGTACCAATTATAGCCTAGCCAATGATCCACTGTCCATCCATAGCTAAATGGGCAATTTTAAGTAGCTATGTTAGTTTACTGGAGGGACTTGGAGCAAAAATGGAGTTCAGTGATGGTCAACTTACGAATACAACGGGATGTTTGATTATGCTTAAGTCATAACCGGAGTGGTGCTATGGAGACAAAATGGCACGATTTTACCACCGGAGGAGCCAACTTGTGATCGAGATCCCAAGTAAATGCGTTGGCACGAAGCAACAAGCACTTTTGATGGCAACAACTTTTACTTGTTGCATTTTCCACCCTTAAAACTGAAGGATCTAAATTGGCGAGGATTGTTGGGGATGGCTCACCAGCAGTGCAGAAACTGGCTGAGGAGGAGAATCCGGGCTCCCAGCAGTACAGCTACATCACCGGCCGCGCGTCCCCACCACGCTACGGGGGGAAATTCATCATGACCAGAACCAAGGTGCGGTGGCGGTGGAGACGGTTTTTGGGTGGGGGAAGGGTGGTGAAAAAATGGAAAGTACCATGATATGTATGATGATATAGGGGGGATTTCATCAACAATAATGGGATATATAGTGTGTATATCATGGAAATATCATGGGTATACAACATCTATATGGGGATATAATGGAATATGTAACCAACAATGTGATATTTGGTGAGATCTTACCATCAAGAACGGTGGTTCAAATGGGAGTTGAATGGGGGTTTAACTCTACGCGCCATGGCCAAACTACATGGGGATCTATGGTCGTCCATTCCCCAATGTGTATAATCCACCCTTTGAACATGGCACATATGGTGATATTCTGGGATATAATATGATAGAAGGGATTCAACTGGATATCTTATCATACTGGTATTTAATGGATGAGTATTGCTGTAATTTTCCCATACATGCTGAAAGCCAACGTTCATCACGGCAACAATCAGGAACCTGCCTCTTTTTGGTATCAAGAACTTATAAAAGGGAACAACATGTTGGCAACGGCTCATCAAAGGAATTTGCTTCAAAAAAGTTTGCGTGGATCAAATCGATGACCCAAAATAGGGTTGTTTTATCTCGCAAGATATCACCTGGATCAACATGCCATTTGTTGCCCAAGATTTGATACATCGTAAGCGAAACGACATGTTTTATCATTTGCTAGCCTACTCAAACAACAGGTGTTATGTTTTTTGCATATCTCTTGATATGTTGATATCTTTCTGTTTCATTTAGATATGTCTATTTTTTCGACAACAAAAAGTCACGTGCCACCCATGGTTGTTCCCCATGTGGTTCCCCATGTTCTCTCCAGCTTCTGCGCAACGAGGTCTTCGCATGTCGCCTGGGAGTGCTCTTTTGGGGCACCCATTGGTCCGCTGGCAAGCCGGACCTGGGCCTAGAAGGCACCCAGCGGACGTCCGGGATGTCGCCGCGGTGCGTTTACTGGGGCTTATGATAAGCCATAGGGAAACCTATCAACCAACTAGTATAATTGAATTAAATGAGATGGGATGATGGGGTATTTTTAATGGCTCAACTGTGTTTTTTTTGTTGTGGCTTTCAACCAAAACTGGTGACAAGCGATACCGATAGGGATACAGGAAGTGGTGACTTGCCTGATGTTGGCCGAGTTGACATGTCTGTCAGTGCTTTCTCCGATGGAAAACACAACAACAGAGGTTTTTGAGTCCCAAAATATCGGAACACGTCCATCCATTCAAACGTAAGGTGATGATTCCCAATGGCCAAGATGTTTTTCAATTGGATTGAAATAATCTAGCTGTATCCTGCTATAGCTAGTTATATCCACTCTCATAATCAAACATGGTTTGCTGGAAAATCCACCATTTACATCCATTTACTTTGTTGATTCCCAGTGAACTAAACCTCCATTTATAAAATTTATAGTGTTTTCCCCATATTTTCATATGATGTCATCATCAAAGCATTTTTTTTCAGACCACCATCTTTTTCATGACTTTTCCCATATTTTCCCCAGGTTTTCCCCACATCTTCCCATGATATCAGGGCGGATGTTCCCCCAGGTTTCGAGGCTCACGACATTTCCCGCAGCTCCTCACAGCTGGGAGATACCTACATGTGCCACGGTGGCTTAACGGATGTGGCCTCAAGGAGTCAGGGTGAAATCCACATAAAATGGCAAATCCATGGTAAAAATCATGGTACCCTCTGGTAAACTAACATCACTATGGAAAATCACCATTTTTAATGGGAAAACTCACTGTAAAAAGCCATTTTCAATAGCTATGTTAGTTTACCAGAGGGTAAATCCATGGGAAAAATCGCCACATAAATCCACTGGTGAATCATGATTCGGAAAAAGCACCAAAAAAATTCGGGATTAAGCAATTGGATTAAACCCACTTGGTTTTTTTGGATTTATTGATTTGGTAGGGTTGGATTGGATTTTGATTTGGATTTTATTCGATTTGATCGACTCTTTACTTGAAATTTGAGATCCTGGGAAAACATCTCCATAGTCAGTAACAAGTAGCACAGCAAGCTCGTCCACCGGGAAAAAAATCCCCAATGGACCGCAAAAGTGCTCGTGTTTCGTATTAAACTATTCGACCCTTCAATTTTGTTGAGTACATACGTTCTTCAACCATAAAGATTTTTAAACACCCATGTCAAACGATGCCTAGGCACAACGCGGTCATCAGTGCCTACACTGCCAACACGGCAACTGATCTCGTGAAAGTAGGAGATGGTGCCTCGGTCTCTTTAGTCGGGTTTGTTCAAGACTGGGCTACCTTCAAAACCGCATGAGGTTTCCCAATCAAACTGCCTATATTGCCATCAATTGGTGGAAATAACAGGCGGTTGGCGGTGAGAACTTTACAGTAGATGATGAACGAACCTCCCAGTTGTAAACGTGATTGAAAATACCCCGTTTTTTCAGTCATGTCATTGTCCCAAGTCGAAACAATGGTGTTTCTATTGTCGATTTACATTCCCCCTTTATACCCATGTTGATTTTCTTGGAAAAATTCCTGTTCCTTGGACATATGACCATTGTATATGTTGATTGTTGAATCAGAGTTCTGTCTCTTAAAACATAAACCATCATATGCAAACCATATACCAACTGTATATCAACCAGAATTTTATCAACCATATATATATATATATATGTATGTATATATATATATATGTACATGTATATATATATATATGTACATATACATATATATATACGTATGTATATATATATACGTATGTATATATATATATACACACACGTATAGATACACACCATATATATATACATACATACATTTATCTCAACCCTAGATATACTAACCATATACCATATAAATCAACCATCCCCCATTGGGCACCCATCCCCCAGGCTTCGAGCTGTACGACACGGACATGCAGACGGTGCTGGCTGACATCACCTTCCGCAACTACGACCGGCCCAACGATGTGGCGATCCAGGTCAGCAACGGGCAAAAAAAAAAGCACCGGGGAATCTGGTTGTAGGGAAAATCTATGGTTTTTATATGTTTTTGATGGTGTTGATGATATGTTTTACATGGAAAATCTATGGTTTTTGATGGTGTTGATGCTGTGTTTTACATGGAAAAACTGAACATATCCAACTTTAGGTGTTTTTTTGTGCTGATTTCGGAGGTTTGAAAAGGTATCAACATCCATAAACATGGTATGCAGAAGGGAAAAATGGTTTTAAACATGCAGAGTAGGGGTATTACTGTAGTTGAAGCAATTACCCCAGGCCGGAACGTTCAGAAGTGCCAGCAACATGTCGCCGTTCTCCAGTCCCTTGCAGGACATGACGCACAGCAACATCTTCAAACCTCAGGGCATGTTCCATTCCGACAAGATCCGCTTCGAAAACACACCCATGGAACATCGCCTGCGACGCTTGGGAAGTGAGAAGTGGAAGCGTACCATTCAAGAACGGATGGCAAATTAGAATATTAACGCTTAAATAAAGGATGGGTACTATTACCTTGTTAACCATATTATGCCACCCATATTAACGATGCATGGGTAATATGGTTCATCTATGGCAATCGCCAAAAGGATGGTCCAAAACCATCCAAAGCCCAGTGGTATCCCAGGACATGTGGAACGCTTGGCCTGCAAGAGCTACCATTCTGACAGCTGTCTGAACCGTTGCAGTTTCTGCCCGGGCACCCCGGGCAGTTCTCAAACGGCCAACCTCTTCGATGTGCCATGGATCGGTGTAGATGGGCCATGGGCAGATGGGATTGGATCGGTGTAGATGGGTTTTCACGGGTTTAATATGGTTAAATCTATACAGATTGGATGGGATAGTATAGATATAGATTGTTAAATGATGGAATTAGATGAATCTTTCATAGATTCTATAGATTTGAAGATCGATTTCGACGGGTTTAGATGGAACATCCCCATGTTGTTTTGAAGCCTCAACTTCCCCGGTGCAAAGCAGATTTGGAACAATCCATATCTATACTATCTATCACGCGAAACTGCACCCCTTTGAACAGCTGAAGCTAAGAATCAAACCGAGGGATTAAGTGATTTGACAGGTGTTATCTCAATGTTTATCATGTTATCTCAAGGTTTTTCAGCAATGTTAAACCACGTTAAACCCAATATTTCTCTGGTTGGTGGTTTGGAACATGTTTTATTTTCCCCAATAGTTGGGATGATGATCCAATCTGACGAACTCATATTTTTCAAGATGGTTAAAACATGTTAAAACCACCAACCAGACCATGTTAAACCCGATATTTCTCCATGTTCCCCCCATGTTTCCCCGGGCGCCCAGGTGGATGGTTCGCTCTCGGGCCTGGGTGAAGCCACCATCCTCGGCGCGGACGATGCCGCGGCGGAGACCAACGGCAGGACCAACGAATGGTGGCGCTTGGATCCGAGCTCCGGGGCAAAAAAGATGGGTCCCTGGTGGTTTGTTATGAAAATGGCCATAGAAATAGTGGATGTACCCATTAAAAATGGTGATATTCATGGTATATATATGCTGGTTGGTGGTTTGGAACATGAATGTTATGACTTTCCATATAATTAGCCTCTGGTAAACATACAAAAAACTATGGAAAGATCCACCATTTTTAGTGGGTAAATCCACCATACATGTGAATTTTGGGGAGATAATGGTTGTTGATGGTTATTAATGGTTAACATTATATATATATATATACTGATTGGTGGTTTTCCATATATTAGAAATAGGAACCCCAACTGACGAACTCATATTTTTCAGAGGGGTAGGTATACCACCAAGCAGGTCCTGTGAAGTGAGGGAGATGCGGAACTGTGGTCTGAAGTGAGTTCACCAGATTCACCAGATATGATATTGATCGATATTGTCTAATTCATGGGTGTATATATTATGGATTTCACTAATATGTCCATCAGATTTACTGCGAATCAATTATGTTGCGACAAAAACTGGGGATGATAGAGAATGGGGGAGATACTGTGTTTTTTGTACATGAAGCCACTATGCTTTTGGCATTCTCACCCAGGAATGTCCAAGTGACCCCCGATGGTTGATGGTTGCGTTCTTAGTGACACGAATTGGTTTAAGCTGGGGGTATTTTGACCTTACCTGGTGAGAACAAGGGAAATGATGGGGGTTGGTTATTCAATTCTTACTTGATTATCCCTTGATAGTTTGATTGATATTAGTCGTTTGTCACCATCCCCACTTGTGAATCTGGTCATGTTTTCAATCCCTCCATGGCTGATTTTCCCAGCGAGGTTGCACCCAAAACACCGACTGGGGCTTTTGGCTTTGTCCCACTCATGGACACCGGTCACTTGGCGAAAACCATGAGAAATCCCATGGAAAAAAATGTGAAAAAATGGATATCAAATCAAAGTCATCCAAGCAATCTGCAAGGCCCAAACTCTATAATTTGAAATGGTGAGCCATCAACCCATCCATTCATCAACTCTCAAAAAACAAAGCCCAACTTGTTCCGCTCATGGACCTCCGTTTGAGGTCCATCGTGAGCCTTTTCATCATGCAGGGCATCATGTCCTCTCCTCCGGCGCGCACCAGCTCCGACACTGCCGTGGGGATGTTGTATCACTTTGGTCGATGCTGGGAATCATTGAGAGGTTCACTTTATGTGGTTTTATGGATTTAAATGGATGAAATATGATGACATCTATTGTTAGTAATGGTGAACTATGAATAATTGGAATACCCTCTTGGCGATTTGCTGACATGGGAAATAATGGGATAAAACTTGACATGCTTGAATATAATGGGATATCATGGGATATAATAGTTCATGAGGTCGTCAACTTGATATTTTACATGGATTCATCTGAAAATGGAGATTCAGTTTTTTCCGAGTTTCATATATCTTGATGATCTACCCCCGAAATCACCAAAAAAGTTGATGATTTCCAGGTTTGATCATTGATATTCAAATTGGATTATCCCATTAAAATCCCATTATCAACCAGGTAAACCCTGGTAATCATATTACCATCTGGTTATTTAACAGTTCGCCATGGAAAATCCACCCATTTTTAAGAACGGTAAACCATCGATTTCTATGGGCCATCTATACCATGGCTATGTTAAATAACCAGAGGGTATATCAAAAGGTAGATGCTGGTTTCATTACCAACGTACCTTTACATATATTTACCATGGTGTTAACACATCGCTTTTTGATGTGTTCTATGGTAGATTACCATCATCTGAGAATCCCATGTTTTTTCCATGTGGGATACCATCTGATCTTCGACTCCCAGGAACTGATCGATATTTGGACCTGGGATTGGCCGAAAGCCCAATGGCCCTTCGGTGGCGGAATGCCGGGCGGGCCCGGTGGTAAAACAACTTCGGGATGAACTGAAGATGTGAATTTAAAACCCAAACCAGGTAGGTGAATCGATCAAATCAACATGTTTAACCTTTATAACCTACCTGGTTGGTGGTTTCAAGTCAAAATGTAAAACGCTTCAAGGAAGAATTTACAGGCTTTAACCGAGTTTAACCCCTTTTTCGCTTGCAAAAATCCACATCATTCCCATAAAGACAAGCGTGTTGCTAACAACATCCCATGTGGATACATCCCATGTGGATACCATATTCTCATATCTATATCCCATATTTAGTTTATCCTCAAAAGACCTACGGTGTGTCCCTTCTGAAGCCACAACAAAACCCTACGGAAATGCCACCCCTTCCTTCGCAGAAAGGTCACCGGCGCTTGCTGCGACATCGGTTGGTTCCTGCATTTGGACGCCGGAGCGCTGTCAGAGTTGACGATCTTCATGGATCAGATGGTGGATTTTGGAGGCCACGAAAATCATTGGGAGAACCAGCAAAAACCACGTGGTTTTCATGAGTATAACTGGTTTGTGGTGACTGGAACCATGGAATTTTGTCACTTTCCATTCAGTTGGGAATAGTAACCCCAACTGACTCATATTTTTCAGGGTGGTTGAAGCCACCAATTAGATAACCAAAAGCGAAGAACATGTGGCATCCAGTAGGGACATAACATGATATAACCAGTATCATTGGGATAGAAAGGAATGTTGCAGAAAATTGACGGGATGTGCTAAGAAAATATTTGGCAAAATATCAATACCCTCTGGTAAACTAACAGTTTGCTACTGAACATTGTGATTTATAGTGGGTTTACCGATTTATTTATGGTGATTTCCCTTGGTAATGTTAGTTTACCAGAGGGTAATATGTCTAATTTCTGCTTCAATATTGATGATCAACCATCATTAAGACTCCCTTTTAACCATGGAATATCATTGGGATTGAAATGGGATAGATCCCGTTGATTTTTTCCGACATTTCTGGAGATGTCGGCGTCATCAATTCGATGGGATGTAGAGGTTCATACTGTTGATGGAAGAAATCCTGCACCACTTTCAAAGGCCTACACTTGAAACCTCGCGCTCCTAATTTAATATTGTTTGAAGACACAGTGATCAAAATGGATTTGCGCGAGTGACGGAAATCCTGCACCACCTGTCAACATGTCATTCAACATTGAGCTTGGGGGTACGGGGGTACAAGTTATGCATTAGCAAACCTAAGTTTATAGAGGTGGTGCAGGATTTCTTCCACCCACCGAAGAAAGACAAGGATTTCTTGTATTTTTGGTCTTGCAAATTTCTTCCCGTCACCAGCTACTTCCAGGGGATCAAATCCATCGTCCGTTCTTCTTATAGTTCCCCCAGTGTGCTTCACTCTTCACCTGCACACAGCTGAGCACGAGGCAAAATGAGCTACATGGCGGCCGCCGCACGCTACACTGCAAACTGCACGCGACACTCACGCTACACTACACGCAACACTACACGCTACACTACACGCAACACTACCAAAATGCTGTCAGGGGCAGCATTTCAGGTCAGGACAGAAAAAGCTGACTTGTATTTTCATTTCATTCCTTAAAAGCTTCAAAGCTCCAAAATGCCGCCCCTGCCAGCAGTTCGGTAGTGTTGCGTGCAGTGTAGCGTGTAGTGTTGCGTGTAGTGTAGCGTGTAGTGTTGCGTGGAGCTGCCACGCAACACTGGTCACTTTCACGTGCTTCTATGAAAAGGATTCTGCTTCCTCCCTCCTCCTGGTCCGGCAACCATTTTCCGGCATCCCAGCGCTGCTCTGCCCAGCTTGTGTTGCAATATAGTCAAATCTAAATGCACCAGGCTTGATGACCTTTAATTCAAAGGTTGATCTGCCGACAAGCTAATGAATGCATATGGCCAAAACATCCTTCAGCTTCTGCCCGCTGATTCTTTGCGGTTCTTCAACCAGGCACATAAAATTTCAGTACTGTTGATGGAAGAAATCCTGCACCACTTTCAAAGCCTACACTTGAAACCTCGCGCTCCTAATTTAATATTGTTTGAAGACACAGTGATCAAAATGGATTTGCGCGAGTGACGGAAATCCTGCACCACCTGTCAACATGTCATTCAACATTGAGCTTGGGGGTACGGGGGTACAAGTTATGCATTAGCAAATCTAAGGTTATAGAGGTGGTGCAGGATTTCTTCCACCCACCGAAGAAAGAAAAGGATTTCTTGTATTTTTGGTCTTGCAAATTTCTTCCCGTCACCAGCTACTTCCAGGGGATCAAATCCATCGTCCGTTGTTCTTCTAGTTCCCCCAGTGTGCTTCACTCTTCACCTGCACACAGCTGAGCACGAGGCAAAATGAGCTACATGGCAGCCGCCGCACGCTACACTGCAAACTGCACGCAACACTCACGCTACACTACACGCAACACTACACGCTACACTACACGCAACACTACCAAAATGCTGTCAGGGGCAGCATTTCAGGTCAGGACAGAAAAAGCTGACATGTATTTTCATTTCATTCCTTAAGAGCCTCAAAGCTCCAAAATGCCGCCCCTGCCAGCAGTTCGGTAGTGTTGCGTGCAGTGTAGCGTGTAGTGTTGCGTGTAGTGTAGCGTGTAGTGTTGCGTGGGGCTGCCACGCAACACTGGTCACTTTCACGTGCTTCTTTGAGAAGGATTCTGCTTCCTCCCTCCTCCTGGTCCGGCAACCATTTTCCGGCATGCCAGCGCTGCTCTGCCCAGCTTGTGTTGCAATATAGCCAAATCTAACTGCACCAGGCTTGATGACCTTGAATTCAAAGGTTGATGATCTGACAAGCTATATAATGAATGCATATGGCCAAAACACCCTTCAGCTTCTGCCCGCTGATTCTTTGCAGTTCTTCAACCAGGCACATAAAATTTCAGTACTGTTGATGGAAGCAATCCTGCACCACTTTCAAAGGCCTAGACTTGAAACCTCGTGCTCCTAATTTAATATTGTTTGAAGACACAGTGATCAAAATGGATTTGCGCGAGTGACGGAAATCCTGCACCACCTGTCAACATGTCATTCAACATTGAGCTTGGGGGTACGGGGGCACAAGTTATGCATTAGCAAATCTAAGGTTATAAGAGGATATAAGAGGTGGTGCAGGATTTCTTCCACCCACCGAAGAAAGAAAAGGATTCCTTGTATTTTTGGTCTTGCAAATTTCTGCCCGTCACCAGCTACTTCCAGGGGATCAAATCCATCGTCGGTTCTTCTTATAGTTCCCCCAGTGTGCTTCACTCTTCACCTGCACACAGCTGAGCACGAGGCAAAATGAGCTACATGGCAGCCGCCACACGCTACACTGCAAACCACACGCAACACTCACGCTACACTACACGCAGCACCACACGCAACACTACACGCTACACGCAACACTACCAAAATGCTGCCAGGGGCAGCATTTCAGGTCAGGACAGAAAAAGCTGACTTGTATTTTCGTTTCGTTCCTTAAAAGCCTCAAAGCTCCAAAATGCTGCCCCTGCCAGCAGTTCGGTAGTGCTGCGTGCAGTGTAGCGTGTAGTGTTGCGTGTAGTGTAGCGTGTAGTGTTGCGTGGGGCTGCCACGCAACACTGGTCACTTTCATGTGCTTCTTTTGAAAAGATTCTGCTTCCTCCCTCCTTCTGGTCAGGCAACCATTTTCCGGCATGCCAGCGCTGCTCTGCCCCAGCTTGTGTTGCAATATAGTCAAATTTACATGCACCAGGCTTGATGACCTTTAATTCAAAGGCTGATCTGCCGACAAGATAACGAATGCATATGGCCAAAACATCCTTCAGCTTCTGCCCGCTGATTCTTTGCAGTTCTTCAACCAGGCACATAAAATTTCAGTACTGTTGATGGAAGAAATCCTGCACCACTTTCAAAGGCCTACACTTGAAACCTCGCGCTCCTAATTTAATATTGTTTGAAGACACAGTGATCAAAATGGATTTGCGCGAGTGACGGAAATCCTGCACCACCTGTCAACATGTCATTCAACATTGAGCTTGGGGGTACGGGGGTACAAGTTATGCATTAGCAAATCTAAGGTTATAGAGGTGGTGCAGGATTTCTTCCACCCACCGAAGAAAGAAAAGGATTTCTTGTATTTTTGGTCTTGCAAATTTCTTCCCGTCACCAGCTACTTCCAGGGGATCAAATCCATCGTCCGTTCTTCTTATAGTTCCCCCGTTCTTCTTATAGTTCCCCCAGTGTGCTTCACTCTTCACCTGCACACAGCTGAGCACGAGGCAAAATGAGCTACATGGCAGCCGCCGCACGCTACACTGCAAACTACACGCAACACTCACGCTACACTACACGCAACACTACACGCTACACTGCACGCAACACTACCAAAATGCTGTCAGGGGCAGCATTTCAGGTCAGGACAGAAAAAGCTGACATGTATTTTCATTTCATTCCTTAAGAGCCTCAAAGCTCCAAAATGCCGCCCCTGCCAGCAGTTCGGTAGTGTTGCGTGCAGTGTAGCGTGTAGTGTAGCGTGTAGTGTAGCGTGTAGTGTAGCGTGTAGTGTAGCGTGTAGTGTTGCGTGGGGCTGCCACGCAACACTGGTCACTTTCACGTGCTTCTTTGAGAAGGATTCTGCTTCCTCCCTCCTCCTGGTCCGGCAACCATTTTCCGGCATGCCAGCGCTGCTCTGCCCAGCTTGTGTTGCAATATAGCCAAATCTAACTGCACCAGGCTTGATGACCTTGAATTCAAAGGTTGATGATCTGACAAGCTATATAATGAATGCATATGGCCAAAACACCCTTCAGCTTCTGCCCGCTGATTCTTTGCAGTTCTTCAACCAGGCACATAAAATTTCAGTACTGTTGATGGAAGAAATCCTGCACCACTTTCAAAGGCCTAGACTTGAAACCTCGTGCTCCTAATTTAATATTGTTTGAAGACACAGTGATCAAAATGGATTTGCGCGAGTGACGGAAATCCTGCACCACCTGTCAACATGTCATTCAACATTGAGCTTGGGGTACGGGGGTACAAGTTATACATTAGCAAATCTAAGGTTATAGAGGTGGTGCAGGATTTCTTCCACCCACCGAAGAAAGAAAAGGATTTCTTGTATTTTTGGTCTTGCAAGTTTCTTCCCGTCACCAGCTACTTCTAGGGGATCAAATCCATCGTCGGTTCTTCTTATAGTTCCCCCAATGTGCTTCACTCTTCACCTGCACACAGCTGAGCACGAGGCAAAATGAGCTACATGCCAGCCGCCACACGCTACACTGCAAACTACACGCAACACTCACGCTACACTACACGCAACACTACACGCTACACTACACGCAACACTACCAAAATGCTGCCAGGGGCAGCATTTCAGGTCAGGACAGAAAAAGCTGACTTGTATTTTCGTTTCGTTCCTTAAAAGCCTCAAAGCTCCAAAATGCTGCCCCTGCCAGCAGTTCGATAGTGTTGCGTGCAGTGTAGCGTGTAG